AAGGAAGAAAAGACCAAAATGGATGTCAGAAGAGACTCTGAAACTTGCCCTTGAATGGAGAGTAGCTAAAGCAAATAGAAGAAATGACAAGATAAAAGAGCTGAACAGAAGATTTCAAAGAGTAGCTCGAGAAGACAATTATACTGAAATGTGCAAAGTCCTGGAGTTAGAAAACCAAAAAGGAAGAACACGCTCGGCATTTCTCAAGCAGAAAGAACTGAACAAAAAACTCAAGCCTTGAGTTGTAATGTTGAAAGATTCTATAGGCAAAATACTGAATAATGCAGGAAACATCAAAAGAAAATGGAAGAAATACACAGAGTCACTATACCAAAAAGAACTGGTCAATCCTCATCCATTTCAGGAGGTGGGATATGATCAAGAACCAATGGGATTGGAGAAGTTGAAGTTGCATGGAAGGAATTGGTGAAAAACAAGGCTCTAGGAATTGACAGGATACCCATTGAGATGTTTCAACAAATCAATGCTGCACGGGTGGTACTTACTCATCTATGCCAAGAGATTTGGAAGACAGCTACTGGGCCAACTGACTGGAAAAGATTCATATTTGCACCCATTCCAAAGAAAGGTGATCCCACAGAATGTGGAAATTATTGAACTATATCATTAATATTCTCATGCAAGTAAAATCTTACTGAAGATAGTTCAAAAACGGTTGCAGCAGTATATTGACAGAGAACTTCAAGAAATACAAGCTGGATTCAGAAGAGGACTTGGAATGAGGGATATCACTGCTGATGTCAGATGGATCTTGGCTCAAAGCAAAGAATACCAGAAAGATGTTTACTTGTGTTCTATCGACTATGCAAAGGTATCTGACTGTGTGGATCATAACAAAATATGCATAACATTGAGAAGAATGGGAACTCCAGAACACTTAACTGTGCTCATGAGCCCTGTACACAGACCAGGAGGCTATCGTTCAAACAGAACAAGGGGATACTGCATGGTTTAAAATCAGGAAGGGAGTGTGTGAGGGTTTTAGCCTTTCACTATACTTATTCAATCTGTATGCTGGGCAAATAATCCAAGAACGTGTACTATATGAAGAAGAACGTGGCACTGGATTGGAGGAAGAGTCATTGACAACCTGAGACACACAGATGACACGAACTTGCTTGCTGAAAGTGAAGATGACCTGAAACACTTACTGATGAAAATGAATGACTATAGGCTACAGTATGGAATAAAACCAAAACCTCACAACTGGATCAATAAGCAGCATAATGAAAAATGGCGAAAAGACTGAAGTTGTCAAAGATTTCATATTACTTAGTTCCACAATCAACACTAATGGAAGCAGCAGTCAAGAAATCATATGACGTATTGCGATGATGGGCTCGGGTATAGCAAGAATTGTGAGGCTGGCACAGGACAGGGCAGTATTTCGTTCTGTTGTACATAGGGTCTCTATGAGTCAGAGCCAACTTGATGGCACCGAACAACAAAACAAATTGTACTGGGCAACACTGCTGCAAAAGACCTCTTTAACATGATGAAGCGCAAAGATGTCTCTTTGAAGACTAAGGTGTGCCTAACCCAAGCCATGGTGTTTTCAATTGCCTCATATGCATGTGAAAGGTGGACAATGAAAGAGGAAGACAGAAGAAGAGCTGATGCTTTTGAGTTGCGTTGGTGAAGAATAGTGAAAGTACCGTGGACTGCCAGAAGAACAAACAGATCTGTCCTGGAAGAAGTACAGCCAGAATGCTTCTTGGAAGTGAGAATGGCCAGACTTGGTCTCACCTACTTTGGTCATGTTGTCAGAAGGGACCACACCCGGGAGAAGGATAGCATGCTTGGTAAACTGGAGGGTCAGCGAAAAAGGGGAAGGTTCTCAATGAGATGGATTGACACAGTAGCTACAACGATGCGCTCAGGTACATTGAGGACTGCAAAGCTGGCGCAGGCTGGACAGTGTTTCATTCTATCGTACATAGGGTCACTATGAGTTAGAGCAGACTCGACGGCACCTAACAACAACAATCTTCATAGAAGCAGACTACCACATTTTTCTCCCATGGAGCAGCTGGTAAGTTCAAACTGCCAACCTTTTGGTTAGCAGCCAACCACTTAATTGCTGTGTCAGCAGCGCTCCTTAAAAGGATATTCAATATCTATTGATAATAGTATTGTGATACTCATTTTGTTGACAAAGAAATTGAGGTTCTAAGAGATTAAAGAATTTGCCAAAAGTCACGGAACAAAACCAAAAATCAGGAATCAATTCTAAATTTGTTTAGCTTAAAAGTCAATCATAAAGTAGTGATAAAACATGGTATTTATGTATATCCTGAAAACAAAGTGTCAAAATCTAGACAGAAGAAAGAATAAGTCACAATAATTAGCAAAAAACAATATAGATTTGTGCCTCTGCCATCAGTGGCTACACACACACACACACACACACATCTTCAACCAGGTGAAATTAGTAATCAGATTTAAGATTAAGTTCTAAAGCATTTCAGAGAAAAAAAACTTACAAAATCAAATACTTCTCCTCATTTCAACAAAATCTATCTTGATCACTGACTTTATTTTCTAGACTTGGCTCCAACTAACTTCTGGTTATTCCAAAGATTTCATCTACCCTAAAATGGTAATAGTTTGTCCCTTCATTTTACAGATAAGAAAACAGAGGTCCAGAGAAATTGACTTAATCAGGCAATTCCGAAAGAGGATTTCTAAAAATATTTCAATCAGTGTCAGAATTACTGGCATAAACATAGTCTTAAATGTGGCTTCACTTAGAGGGGCAACATTAATTTGAACAGCATAATTTTAGAACCTGTTTTTTTATAACATAGTATAATAGAGTGGTTAAGAACAAAGCTCTAGAGTCAGACTGCTTCAGTTTTAATCCCAATTCTAGCATTCATTAGCCATATCACCTTGAATCTGTTTCAATTTCCTTATATGTAAAATGATGATCTCTCTCATAAGGTTGTTAAGAGGATTATAATATTTAATTCACATGAAAAGTGCTTAGATGGGGGCAGTGGTCAGTAGTAGAATTTTTGCCTTCCATAAGGGAGATCTGGGTTTGATTCCTGGCCAATGCACCTCACATGCAGTTACCACCTGTCTGTCTATCAGTGGAGACATGCGTGTCTCTATGATGCTGAATGGGTTTCAGCAGAACTTCCAGACTAAAACAGACTAGGAAGAAAGGCTTGGTAATCTGCCTCCAGAAATCAGCCAATGAAAACTCTGTGGATCACAATGGTCCCATCTGCAACTGACCATGGGAGTGGCACAAGACTAGGTAGTATTTCATTCTGTTGTGTATGGGGTTACTACGAGTCAGGGGCTGACTTGATGGCAGCTAACAATTACAACAAAGTGCTTAGAACAATGCTTGGAATATTCACTGTGCTCAATAAATTGGGAACAATTGTTATGATAACTTTATGGATTTCTCAAAGGCTAAACTTGATAAAAGCTAGATAAAGGTGCTCATACTCAAGCATCTAGTAAGTCCAGAATAAGGACCTGTCACATAGCCCAGGGAACAGTCTTGGATTGGGAGATCACAATGACCTTGTTGGTTGAGGATTCAGAGTTGTAGAAAACCAGATAGAATGAATGGTCCTTCAGAGTTTTACCAGTTTCAAAAGGGTTCTATACCAGTCAACCCCCTCCCTGCCCCCATAGCTAGAATGAATCCCTAGAAGGGTAGCCTGAGTTTAGTTCTATATGGAATTTCTAATACACTGTTTGGCTATGGTCCAGAGGTGCCCAAAGATGTTTAATTCAAGCCCTTTCCTCAGCACCATGTTTTACTGTGATTAAAAATTTTCAAACAATGCACAGATAAATTATAGCAAATCTAACATGAAAGGAATTTCCATGAAAGCTGGGAATTAGCTTGTTTTGTTTGCTATTTAATCCCTGATATCCTAAAATAAGGAGCTCTAGTGGCACAGTGGTTAAAGCATTTGGCTGCTAACAAAAAAGATTGGTGGTTTGAACCCAACAGCTGCTTGGAAAAAGATGAGGCAGTCTGCTTCTGTAAACATTTACAGGCTTGGAAACCCTGTGGGGGCAATTCTACTCTGTCCTGAAACGTTGCTATGAGTCAGAATAAATTGATGACAGTGGGTTTGGTTTGGGTCTGGATCCTACAACAGTTTATGGCACATCCAAACCAAAACCAAACCTATTACCATCTTGTCAAGTAGAGACTGCCACATCTTTCTCCCATGGAGTGGCTGGTGGGTTCAAACCACTGATCTTTTGGTTATGGGTATGAAAGGGTATAAAAGCCACTAACTTAGAATTTTTGATAATTCAGATATATTATATATATGAGGCAGAAGAAAGAGTTGGCAGTCTCCTCCCATAAAATTTACAGCCTTGGAAACACTATGGGGCAGTTCCACTCTGTCCTAATGGGTCCCTATGAGTCAGAAGTAACTAGATAGCAAAATATATATGAAACTTTTCCTGATTTAAAAGTTTGAAATAATTTCTCAGTGAATATTTCAGGGTCCTTTTCTTATTTGTTTCTTTGATGAACTAGGGGTTCATGAAATTAAAGATTACTAAATATTCTTTCAATTGATTGCTTCAGTGAGTCTTATGTTTTACCATAACATTTTATTACACAGTGTGGTCAATTATGAGTTACAATAATTTCTTTAACATATATCATTTTATCTACTTTTATCAATTTTCTATTTTGGCTGTAATATACACTACATTAGAATGAGGTAACAATTTACATCTTTCAATCATTTTTTGTACAGTTGAAAGAACAAAGGTCAATCAGGAAATAGAAGTCTAATCTAACTCTTAACATTAAACACCCATGTGACTCTGGTCAAGGAACTCAACCTGTGTTTCAGTTTTCTTATCTGTAAAACATAATAATTATAAATACTAGCCCTCACAGGAATCTCAAGAAGGTCAAATAAAAATGTTAATAGATAAGTTTGTTTTTAATTTAAAAAATTGTAACTTAGATTTTTTTTTCCATAAAGTCTAGCCTTCCCTCAAATATTTGCAATAAGTATAGGAATAGATCACAAGCTTGGTTCTACCTGGCCACCTTCTCAAATTAAGTTTTTAGTTTTAAATTACACATGCTACTATGCCATTCATAACCAGTGGCTGCTTACAAGGTTACAATCATGTTTGAATATTTTCTCCAAACCCAAATTATCTTAATATAAGCAACACAAAACTTTATGTAAATGTGAGGTTTATGAACATTGTGATAATTCATTTCAACTTACTCTTTTTTCCGACGACCATGAAAAAAACTGGCCCATTCAAAGCATGTTTTTTTGCTTCCAACCCAAAAAATGGAGGGAATACCAACTATGAGTGCCATCAGGTATTTCATCAGAAAGAGAATTAGATCAGGATGACTCATTTGAGTAACCTATAAGAAGAGAAGAAAACTGCCTTAAATATAGAAAAAGAATTTACTATCAAATAAAGGCAATTATAGAGTATTTAAATGAAATACACAGAGTAAAATAATTCTACAAATTTAATGTTTTTATTTATAATATTCTACACTTAATACAGTACAAAACCCCATGTGAAACTTATACAACAGAAGTATGGCTTAAATAGTGTTCCCACCAAGTTGATAAGCTACAGGAAAATACAAATTAAAGAAACCACAGAATAGTTAAGAACTATAATTAAGAAGTAGTAGATGAAGAGACACTAAAGCAGATCACAAATAACTTTCTCATTTACAAATACAATGGCTTCTTGTTGGCTCACTTGGCGTAGTGCCTAAGGCATGTGACTCCTAACCAGAAGGCTGATGGTTCAAACCCACCAGCCACTCCTCGGAAAGAAGGTTGAACAATCTACTTCCGTAGTGATACTGCCTCAGAAACCCAAGGAGGGGTTGCTTTGAATCAGATCTGACTCGATGGCAGTTAGTTTGGTTTGGTATATGGCATCAGTTATTAACAATCATATCATACTTTACAAATTTCTCATGTCCCCTGACTTTTATAATAGTTCAATCATGATTATTCTCCTAATCAGGCATTACATTTTCATCTCTGCCTTCTATTCTACTTCTCTTTCTTCTACCCTTTTCACGCATAGCCTCCATATAAGAGCTCTTAAAGGCACTCCTCTCTTCTCTCTTGTTATTCTCTCAATTAATCACTTAGACTTAGAAGTCTCTAGTTTTATTCTTTACCTAAGGAATGAATTTCTTCTCTATGAATATATTTGGTACAGTGGTGTAAATAAAAGTACAGGGTGGCCTCTTCTAGATTCAAATAGCTTTAGCTTTTCTGCTTATGAGGCCTAGTCTTATCCTCTGAAGGCATAAAGTATAAAGCTAATATTCCAAAAGTTCTGCCAAAAAAAAAAAAGGTACAAGTTTGGGAAAGAAGAGACAAAACTCTATCAAAAGATCCAAAAGAATCAACTGAAAATCTAATAGAAATAAAGAGTTCAGTAAGTTGCATAAGATTGATATTTTAAAAATGTATTGTTTTCTTATATACTACATATGTTGTTGTTAGTTGTTATTGAGTTGATTACAACTTAAGGCAACTCCATGTGTGAAGACTAGAACCACTACATAGGGTTTTCAAGGCTGAAACCTTTTGGAAGTAGATCACTAGGCCTGTCCCCCAAGGTGCCTTTGGGTAGGTTTGAACCACCAACCTTTCAGCTAGTACTCAAGTGCTTAACTCACTGTGTCACCCAGGGACTCCTATAAAACACTAGGTAGAAAACACAATGAAAAGTATTTAATTTATAGTATCAACAAAAATTATAAAACACTTAGGAATAAACCTAACAAGAAATAAATAGAAAACTATTGAAGAACACAGAGGAAGACCACTGGAAACAGATAAATATTCCATGTTTCTACATAAGAAGATTGAATGTTTTAAAGATGTCACTTCCCAATTCTCTCCCAAATTAATCCTACGAACTTATAAGCCCCAAAAGACCAACAGGTTTTTTTCTTAGAGCTTGAAAGGTTATGATAAAAACTGTTATTTGAAATACACAGGGCAAAGATGGGATTGTTTAAAAAATACTATTGAGATGGCTGACAGTCCACTTGGAAAAAAATAACTGAGGTCTCATCTCATACAATCAACTAAATTATAGACAGATAAAAATAAGAGTATAAAAGAATGAAGAATATGTTTTAACTGGGGGAGGGAGGCAGAAGGGCTTCGTTTTTTTAAAGAGTAATGTGAAACCATGAAACCATAAAAGGCTTTGATTGCTAAAAATTTCAAACTTCTGCAGAGCAAGACACAAATAATAAAATTAATTGAGTAATGGTAAACTACAAATATTAGATGCATTCTTTATGGAAGAAAATGAAAGAGCTATTTAATATCAATAAGTAAACATAAGGAAAAGAAAACAAAAGAATTAATGAAGGTAAAAGAAACAATTAAGTAAGTATAATACATAAAAATAGGAAAACTAGGACTTCCAGTAAGAAGTCCTATTCTGGTGGAATAGGCAGACAAGCCACACAGACACTCTTCAGCAAAGAAAAGAGAAACCAATTGATACAGATACAGAAGCTAAACCTGGAGCCCTGACCTTTGAAAGGAAGGATACAAATGTGGATTAAACACCAACTAGAAGAACCTGAATGAAAACAGTGAATAAGGAGACAAAAGGAGCTGTAGACTGTCAGCTATCCTGATGGCACGGACAGCCTGAGTATTTCCAAGTGGTGTAAGGTCCTGAGAATTAACCTAAAAACCAGCCCTGCTCACAAAGGGCTGCATGATGACTGCACTGGTGGCTGATGACTAAAAAGGGAAACAACAAAGAAGCAGACAAACTGAGCGTGAACTTTTGGCTGTCTGGAGGGTGCAGCCATTTTTAACATTTACAAGTGTTGGTCATTTTGAATGTTTACAAGTGGTGGCCATTTTGCATATTGAAAGTGACAGCATTCTCGTTCAGACTCCAGGGACCTAAGAATAGGCTCTGCTTGCCAAGGACAGCACAGACATATGAGAGGCTGATGACTGGAAAGAAGACAGGTGGTGAATGGTTAAGTGCTGCCAACTACCAAACAGAGGAACACAATACCCTGCTTACTCAGCTAACATCCAAACAAAACAAAGAAAAGGACAATCTTGGGTGAATCACTCCAACATACAATCACCAATTAAATATAAACACAAAAATGTCACAATGTCTTGGAGACAAAAGACCATCAAAAAAAGCAAGATAAAGCAGTAGAAACAAGGGAACAGAATACAGACCCAGAACTTAACTCTGAGGAAGAAGCAGCATTGGAAATCACTGATAAGGAATTCAAAAGAATTACATTTAGTACCTTCAAAGGACTGAGAGACAGATCAAGGAAAACACAGAGAAAACCCTAGAACAATCACAGAAGAAAATACAAAACCAAAATGACAAAATAAATCAAAATTAGAAATGATAAAAAATCCACAGATAGAAATCCAGAAGATTAATATTAAAGTTTAAGAAATAGATAACATATTGAACAGGCAAAGGTGTAGAACTGAATCAATGGAAGACAGAATTAGAGACACTGAAGACAAACACCTCAATACGTCTTTGGAAAGAGATCAATCAGAAGAAAGATCAAAACAAAATGAAGAAGGCCTAAGGTTCATGTGGGATACCATCAAAGGGAATAACTTACATGTAATTGGAATTCTAGAACAGGAAGAGACAAATAAAACCACAGAAAAAATTGTCAAAGATTTGTTGGAAGAGAATTTCCCTGGTACGAAAGATGAGAATATATCCATTCAAGAAGTCCAACAAACCCCAAACAGAAAATCACCAAACCATATCATCATCAAACTCACCAAAACTAAAGACAAAGAAAGCATTCTGAAAGCAGCATGGGAAAAATGAAATGCTATGCAAAAAGGATAACCAACAAGACTAAGCTGTGATTTCTTGGCAGAAACCATGCAGACAAGAAGGCAATGGGATGTTATATATAAAAACTTGAAAGAAAAAAAAACTTCCAATCAAGAATTAAATACCCACCAAAACTGTCCCTCAAATATGAGGGTGAAATTAGGACATTACCAAAGAAGCAGAATTTTTTTTTTTTTTTTAAAGGAATCTGTTAAAACCAGACCAAACTTATAAGAGATGCTAAAGGGAGTCCTTTGGATACAGAACCAACAGCTAACAACAATCAACCATTAACACACATGATGACATAACCTAGAAACCAACATAGTTATGGAAGGATCCAAAGTAAATAAGCTTACGAGATTGTAAACAGGGAACTACAGACATCAATTTGCAAATGAGAACAACTACAAACCAAAAAGAGGTAAAAAATTGTGCAGTTACAGAACTTCTAAATGGTGAGGAACTCAAGACAACTGCAAGATAGAACAGAGTGTTCTAAACATGGGAAGCAACTTATAAATCACAGGGTAACCTCAAAGAAAAATAATAAGCCTTCACATCAAAATAAAAAGAAGGACAAGCACAAATATTTAGCAAACACTAAAACAACTGCAACAAAAAAAGTGATAAGACAATTCATAAGCAAAACAAGCTCAGCACAGAAAATTATATGCAACAAAGAAATCAGCAACACCATAAAAAAACATAAAACAAAATGACAGAGAAAGAAATGGAACTTCCAATAAGATGGAGGAATAGGCAGACAAGTGACACAGACCCTCTTCAAAAAAGAAAAGAAAAACCAATTGACAGAGATACAAACAATAATCCTGGAACCCTGAGCTCTGAAAGGAACTATACAGAAGGGGATTAGGCACCAACTAGTGGAAAAACCTGAACAAAAGCAGTGAATACAGAGATGGTTGGAACTGCGGACTGTCAGCTACTCTGACGAGACCAACAGCCTGAATATTTCTAAGTGGTGCTGGGACCTGAGAATTGACCTAAAGATCAGTCCCAGTTACTAAGGGCTGTACGGACAACTGCTCTGGTGGCCTATGACTAGAAAACAGCAAGGAGGGAGACAACCTGAGCTGTGGACTTTCTGCTGTCCGGAGGGC